AGCCTTGAATGAGATAGAGACACGACATAAGGAGCTGGTCAAGTTAGAAGGTCGCATTAAGGAAGTTCACGAGCTCTTTCTGCAGGTGGCCCTGCTAGTGGAGGAACAGGCAGACACTTTTGATGTTATTGAGATAAATATGCAAAATGTTGAGGACTATGTAGGAGATGCTAAAGAGCAAGTGAAAAAAGCTTTGGAATACAGAAGGAAACATCCCCTCAGAACAATCCTCTGCTGCTGCATATCATGTTGCAGAAGGTGACTATCCCACTGGAACTATCACAGACTGATATGAATGTCTTCAAAATCAGGTGTTCTTTCCAGTGACTTTTCTGTAATGACAACCCCTAGAAATAGGGGAGCTATTTTGCAGTTGGTTTTGTTCATTGCCTTTTTTCTAAATGTGCTGAAGGCTGTTCTATTTAAGAACTCCTAGAAATGTTGGTAAAATTATATTTAATCTAATTTTAATTGAAATATACTCTATTGCTGTAACTAGAGGTGCGAGATTTCTGCAGTGATACTTGTTTCAGATAGGCAAGAAAGAGGAATGAACAGCCTAGGGAAGATGAATAGTTTCAAGAAGTAACTTTATTCTCATTTGTTGAAGTGAGGCTCCCGGCAGCGAAGCCTTACCACCTGGGGCAACACAGTACACAACAGAATCAGGAGTTTTTAGTTTTAACTCGTTTGGAGCCTGCTTGATGCAATTATTTGAAAAGACTTTTGCTCTATTAATGTGACAAAATATCAAGCCTGTTAGCAGCAGCAGGACACGGAATTAGTTTCTCTTTCAACTTGATTTCCATCTGTCTTGAATCTCAACAGAAGTGACTGCACCTTAAATGATAATATGCACATTTTGTTCCATTGTGTGCAAGTGACTGCTTTTTTCCATTTTGAGCACCTGCAACTCTGTCAAGGTGGCTAGAAGCACTGCAGCACTGAGGCATCTCACTCACTTTTAACTTGAGCCACTGTCTGTACTCTCAGTTTCAAACCTGCCATGCTTCCATGCTTTTTTTCTGCAGGCACTGCATGCATCTCTTCAGCCAGAAGAGATGCATGCAGTGGCCTTCTGCAGAAATACCCAGTTGTACTGCAGACAACATTTTTGGGGTTGAGAAAGCATTTTATGTCCTGGGACATACATACAAGCTGCTTTAGTGGAACGACTGCCTGTCAATAGACTTTTATTTTTTTACAAGCATTGACTGAATATGGGGGGGGGGGGTTATATTTATTTTAAATAAGATGAAGGATTAAATTTTTTTAACATGCAATTTTCCTGGTGTACAAAAATTGTGACTTTTCTCCCATTGTTAGGAAATCTCCTGGGAAAGCAAGTACACCTGAAGAAGAAAGAAAACAGTCTCATGTCATTTTAGTGCTCTTTTCAAGCTTAAAAATAACCTCTCCTTTTGTGTAAGGGGAGTCTGCCCTTACACAAGGGCAAACCAGTAAGCTTGGATTATGACAAGGGAATAGAAAATGTGCAGCCCTGGCAAGCACTGAGCATTGTCAGTGAAACATATATTCATAAGGTCTCGTGAGTGATTATAGCTCCTGCTTCTGGAGGTTTTCCAACTATATTTCTAAGAGGCTTTCTGATACACTGTGATCTATTGCTATCCTTTGAAACAATGCAGGACATTTTTTCAAAAGTTAGTTACTTTTTTTAAACTGATTATCCTATTTGTATCTATTTTAATAAATATATTTCAACATTTCAAGTATTTTATATTTGGGAGTTTTCCTCAGATGTGTATAGACGTGCATCTTCCTGTACCAATCGCAATGAAACTTCCCCTTTCTGTTCTTTTGCACCCTAATTTCATATGTGAAAAAACACCCAAACATTTCTTACTATTTGTATTACTATGACAAAACAGCAAAATAAATTCAACTTCCAAGCTTTCATATCCTGGTGGGAAATACTTCTTAGACACATAGGCTTTTTTACACAAATAGAAACTAAATGGATAACTCTTCTCAGAAACTGAATGTCTCTTTTGCTGTAGCACTTCCCTGTGATAACATGGAAGAGTGAGGAACACCAATCTTCTAAACTGTAAGGTATTTTGATATTCAGTGTGTCCTGATGATATCAGTGTTATGCTTGTCTGTGGACCTCTCCAACAACCCAATGTTCAAACTTGAAGCGAGAGAAAGGAGGGTGATGAGCTACCACTATTGCCAGTAGCTTTGGTGCTGCTCAAGAAGACAAAGTCGTTTACTCCGTAGGTACTCCCATTCAAGTCAGTGGAATTGTGTATTTGTAGAGAAGTACCCTAAACCTCCGAGGGTGAGCGTGTGGGGATAAATCAGTGAAGAATGAAATATGCATTTCCTTTGATCTGGATATTCCTAGCGTGTGCCAATGTTTTTGACAAAAAATATGTGCATGTTTTTCTTTGTGTTCATTCCTTTTTTTGCACATATATATTTACAAATGGAATAAAAGATTTAATAAGGGAAACTGAAAGTGCAGAGTGTTGTACATTGAATCGGCAGCTGTGAACAGTTTCTTGCATTGTCAAAGTTTACTTTAAAAGTTGATGGACTAAACTCTTGAGTTGGTGAAAGATTAAATAATACCCATAAAGGAAAAAAAAGTAAATTAGATGTGCTGCATTTTGAGATAGACTTAAAAAGTTTTTTTCCAATAAAAGCCATAGAAAATGAGTTTCATGCATTGTAAGATGATTCTCTGATGCGAGAAAAAAAATAAAATTTATTCTGGCAGTTCTGAGAGATCTTGATGGTTTCATTAGTAGATATGCAAAACTTATACACAAATATTTAGTTCAATTTGAGGCACAGGGAAAGAGAGCGAAATGAGAAGCTAGAAGAAAGCACGAAGAAAAGGTAGTTGTAGACTTTCTCTCCTGACTTAAGGCTGTTGGTGCAAGGAAGAAACAGAATTATTGATATACCCACTGAAGTCCCTTTAAAACTATTTTTAAGATGCATTGTGAATTAGAGGCACTTAAAAAATGACTTCCAGTAACTGAAGAAATCATTCTCTTCCTTGCAAACGTTGCTCAATACTGTGGGTTTTTCTCTATCTTTCAGTTGTGTAAGAATTCAAATTTTGCCAGCCCATGAACTTGCCTAATCACATTTAAACAGACTTTTGAAAAAAACTGATCACACTATAGTTGAAAGGACTCATGCCACACAGGATGAGTGGAAGAAAATGATAAAAGTTGTTTGACAACGTTAGCATACTAATGAAAGAAGCTGCAGGACGGACGTCTCCGTGCTCCCTAAGGAAAGCTGCCTTTTCCTTCTGAAAGTCAGCACAACTCCTGTGTGTAGCATATTCTATGGGTTGGTGAGGTTTTTCTTCCCCTCTTCCCTCATATGGCAAACCCTAAAACTGAGTTTGAGGGGTGAAGTAGTTAAAAGTGTGAGAGAGGATGGTTTACCTTTTAGGACTTTGATTTAGTTTCCTACTGAAGCCAAAGCTCTTCAATCCACACAACCACACACCTATAATCTCAGCCCTTTCTGAGGAGTACAAAGGAGAATTGGCAACCAGGCATACTTTGCTCCTTCTAAAAATGTAAGACAGTGCTGCCCAAATATAAAAGAGAAAAAAAAATCCCTATTACAAAATAAATTGTTTAGTATACAAGGGTTCATGGATATGTGTATGAGTCTCCATTTCATCTTACGGGATTTTTTTTTTTTTTTTTGAATCACGGGTTTAGTTTTGGAGAAATGGCAGTGGAACAATTGCTTCCTCAAAGTGAAGGCCCCAGACTATGGACACACTTGTGCAGGTATCTCTGGCACGTGTCCTGGGAGAAACTTCTCCAAGTAAAGCGTAGCTCTTCATGTATAAAATATTAACAATTCACCTGTACGGTATGTTAGAGGCATTTTCCCTCACAAGCGTGCCTAGCATACTGGGGGGCTCTGAGCACTCACAGCCGAAGGGTTCAGGCACCACCCACACCTGCAAATTCGAGACCCAGACCCCTGACAGGAGGGTACGGACAACCAGGTTGTCCAACAACCGAGCAGGGGGCGTGCTCCTGTTCTGCCCATGCGGAAGCAGATGGTCTCCGCACGCCTCCTCGTCTGCTGGAGGCTGGCACAGTCCAGAGTCCTCGGCCTGCGCTGTACGGAATATGTTCCTTATACCTCAAGGGCAGGCTCACAGGTGGCAAAGTTTGGTGGGGTGAAGGATGTCCATTTTCCCCGCTGAAAAAATAGCACAGGGAGCGAGACTGGGACCCAGTGCCAGGGGGAAGGCCCGAGAAGGGACACCTTCCCATTCCCCATCTGACGCAGGGAAGAAGGGGGAGGTCTCAGGGCAGGCAGTAACTGGGGATACTGCGATAGGTGCTTCCGTAGCCCAGGCGTTCAGTGGCGACCGGCAAAAAAAAAAAAAAAAATCTTTCCCCGCAATAGTTTTCTCCTAAATAAGCGTAACTGATACCTTTGGACTTTAGCGGTTTTGGTTCTCCTTCCTTCTACGAGCAAGGAAGATACATTCCAGGAAACATTTGTACGGGAGTAATAAAGTGCCGGTGCCTTACGGGCGCGACCTCTCTGCAGCCCTCTTACGCCGCCGAGGATCCACGCCGGCACCGCGGCCCTCCCTCCCCACTCTGAGGAGGTCCGAGCCCGCACTGCCCCTGCCCCGCAGTGCCCGCAGCCCTCGCACCTCACCGCCCCGGCCCAGCGCCGCCCGCCCCGCTTTCCCCTCAGGGGCGGGCCCGTGCCAGCCCCGCGCACCTCCCCCGCCTCCCCCTTCCGCTCCGGGCCCGGCGCCCATCGGAACGAAGGCGGCGGGGGAGGGCCCGGCCCGGGCTATCGCGGCCCCGGGAGGGCTCAGGGCCGGAGCAGCGCTCCCCGCCGGGCCCTGCCCGCCCTCCTCCCGCTGCCGCCGGGAGAGGCCGCCCGCGCGCACCGCCCCGCTCGCTCCGCGCTGGGAATAAAGGCGGGGGGGGCGCGGAGGGGGAGGAGGTACCCCCGAGGATCGAGGGGGGCCCAGGGGGCGGGCGGGAGTGCGGCCATGGATGTAGGAGCGACCGGGAGCGCTCCCGGTATCTGCACCAGGATGGCCGAGTGGTTAAGGCGTTGGACTTAAGATCCAATGGACGCATGTCCGCGTGGGTTCGAACCCCACTCCTGGTAATTGACGCTTTTTTTTATCGGGAGCCAGACCCTTAACGTTCCCGGGCAGGGCGCGATGTCCCGGCAGAGGCGCGGCCGAAGGGAGCTGGGGGCCGCCGGGACGCGGCGGGAAGCGGCTGAGGGGCGGGGAGCGGCGCTGGAGCGGCGCCGGAGCGGGCGGGCGGCGGCACCCGGCAGCCCGTGCGGGTGTCCCGGCGCTGGGCGGCCGCAGGGGGCACTGCGAGCCGGGGGGAGCGCGGCGGGGCCGCTGGGGGCTCGTGCAGCTACCGCACGTTCAGCTCGAAAGCCGTTTTAAATACAATTTCTTTTAAGAGTTTGTATGCACATATGTATAAGTATATATGCACACGCACATATGCGTATGTGTATATATATACGTGTACACACATGTATACATATATATTATATATCTATACATATGTATTAAATACACATATATATCCATATATATGCATATGTGTGTGTATATATATACATGTATACACACACACACATGTGTATACATATATATACACATATATGAACGTGTATACGCATATATTTATTTTTGTATGTGTATTTCGCAAGCCACTCGGCCTGGGCCTCGGTGGTGGAGCTTTGGGTGGCAGTGACAGGTGCCTCCAGCTTCGTCGCCCCCGGGTCATGACTTGTTGCTCTACAGCATCATTTAGGTTATTTTTTGTGTAGATTTTTTTTTTCCCATTTCCGAGCCCTTTGAAGGCTCCATATCAACCTGTCAGCATGCTTTTACGACGTGAAAATGAGGCTAAATGCCACATGCACTGGGGTGCAGGCAGTCCACAGGTGTCGAGCCTGCTGAGGTGTCCTCGGCTGACCCCAGAAGGTGGCGGGAAGGAGAAGCCTGCTGCAGAAGTGCTGGCTGTGCCCTAAACTCTGCCATGGATTATGCTAAAGGTTAAGCAGATTGAGTGTGCAGTATTGTCACTCACCTCCTGGTTTTGTTTTCTTTGGCCGGACAGATGGAGCAGTTGTTGCACGTGTTGTGGTGTTCAATTTGCTGGAGCATGTCTTTGTTGTTTAGGGTTTGTGGTTTTGTTTTTTTTCTTTTTAATAGGGTAATATCATTGTGTTTAATAATACATCGAAAGTGAGGGAAGTACAAATCAAGCGCAGACTGATACATTTTTAAATATCAGTATTTGCCGGAGCATCCTGGTCAAATTCTAATACAGGTAAATATAGTTGTTCTTAGCCACCCTGTTCCCAATAATTCGAGCTGAAAAATTATTCTAAAGTTTTAGTCCAAACATATCATGTGATGATACCAACTAATTAAAGGATAAACACGAAAGATATAACTCCTGGTAGGCCTTCTATGAAATAGAACGTGAAATATGTCAGGATATTTTATTACATGCTGCACAAAAGGATCTGGCATTACCAATGTGGGCATGGTATAAACACAGAGATATGATAGTCAAGAGGGAATTGTGGAGAGAAGTGTGGTCTGTGGTGAATTTGTAGGAACTGCAAGTACCTGTATTGTCTTTTCTGAGTGTTACCACAGTTAAATTGTAAATGCAAAACATACCACACTTTCTAGAACTGTTCTTTAAAAAGCAGTACTGCTAGGTTCAGCTATTTTATGAAGTAAACATTCATTGCTATTCTTCATTAAGGTACAAATTAGTTAAAAGTGGGTACATGTTTGAAGGTACATTTTACCTGCAATCTAATGGTAAAATGCTGCCCTTGGAAACCCACATCTTTGCATACAAATTGTATAATTCTGCTTATGTGCTTCTTTACGAGCATGTTTGTACGTACAATAAGTGCTCATGTATATTTTGTGGATGCAGTGCTGATCTTGATGAAAAGTTGGTCCCAGCTATGTCAGTTACAGGATGAATTAGTGGTGGCTATTGTGCACTGTGAGAAAGAAAAAAAAATAAAACTAATCACAATTATTACAAGAACAGTAATTACTGAACAGAAAAAGAAGGCAGTGTTCAGGATGAGGAAATATAGAAAACTGGATTTCTTGGTTAAAATTGTTTCTGTTACAGGCACTGCCCTTTCCTTAAGAGATTTGTTTTGCAGAGAACTTTGCTCAGTCCTTTGTTGAACCTGTGTGTTTCCTGCTTCTTATAACAGCTTGTTAGAGCACATGCTGATCTGGAATGGAGCAGAAGATTTTTTTGAACCTTTCCTGATCTGAAGAAATACCCATAAAATCTACCTGCAACAAGGATGTCCCAACCTCTTCCTACACTTCTCCATAAAGGCAAGTTTAATCTGCTGGGGTTATTTGTTTCTATTTTAGGTGAAGTGGCAGGGTGATGTATTGTGTTTTAGGTCTGGAGATGACCATGATTTTAAGACTTATACTTTATCGAGCAAGTATTTTTCTTTGGTTTTAATAGCTTCCCTGTTAAACCCTCATGAATTATTGGTGGTTGCCCTTGCAGTTTGACATTCTTACATGCACTTGTTGTACTCTGGCCTTTAGTTCAAACAATATTGCTTTTTATTGGACTCTGTTCTGTGGATGAGTTATTTTTCTAAAAAGGATCCTTGCCTTGTTTGTTGAGGAAAATGGAAAAAGTATAGTGACTAATGCTAGAAACCGGAATAAAAAAAGGAGATTCATATGCTGACAGTTGAATGCTACCCTGATCAACCAGAGCTGTTTTTCTTGCCTCTGCATATTTCCTGTCTGATGAGAAGCCGGTCAGTTAAAATAGATTTTTCATAAGCAATCATTTGTTTTCATGTTCCTTATTTTGTGGTCTCCATCTTGAGTACCTCAGTCTGATTTGCAGAAATGCAAAGCTTTTGCAAGCACAGGTGAAATCAACGTATCACCTATACTTTAAGGAGTCTCTGAAAAGAATTGTATTATTTGTTTCTGAGCAGTCAGAATAACTTCAAGCAAAAGTTATTGGAGATACTTGACGTTAATCTTTCCGTACCTCAATTTGCCATTGTATAAAATAGAAGTAATAAAAGTACACCATTTGCAAAATGGGCTGCTATGAAGTAAATTCATTCTTGTTTCTGAAGAATTCAGATGGGTACTTAGATAATCAGGTCATGTAGACCATCAGTGAATTCAGAAAATAAGATGAAATAAACAAGGTACGGAGCCACGCTTTGAGCTGTGAATACCATGTAAAGTATTGATTACTGAACAATTGATTGAATAACTGATTAGCCAGGAAGCACTGCATGATGTGTGCTGAACAAGGTGGGAGTCTTACAGGAAAACAGCAAGCCATAGTTTAACTCAAAATTCTATCTCACTTCATAAACAGAAGGGGATCAAATCAAGAAGGTGGCAACCTATTGGTGAAATATTATTTACGTGATATTTCAAATTAGTTTAATAATTTTTAAAAACTTTCAGCATCCTGAGTTGGTTTTTTTTCAGTTACACTTTAGTGTGTGATGGAAGCGTGTCATTTGTTACTTGAGTTAAACCATTCTTCCATCATTCCCAGTGACCAGTATCTCATATTGAGGAAAAATGTGTAGAAAGGGCTGCGAAGTTCCTAAGCCATTATATAATGTATGTAGGATGATCAGTAAACCCTCTGATTTTCACAGCAGATTAATTTAAAGTCTATAAAGTAGGACTAGTCTCTTATATTAGCAGGAGTAACTGCATGTAAAGTACTTGGTAATTCTTGACTTGTTCTCTTTTTGGGACTTTTGTGGTAAATAAGAGGGGTAGACTCTATTTTCTGGGTTTCATTCTCAGGATGCTTGTTCAAAAATTACCACTATTTAGTGTAGACAGTTGTGTCAGTGTTTATACATATGTTTGCACAGATTCATTTTCAACAGCTGCTGGGCTGTTCATCTGCTGACTGCATTAAATCTTACCTGCAGATTCTTAGAATCATTTCTGTTGGACTTGATATCCAAAGCAACCAAGTGTCATTAGCAATGTTAGCTAATTCTGCCTCCTTCTCCAGGGCATTACAACACACACTCCCAAGCAGATCCTTGCAATGTTTTATTGCTTAATTATTTTTCCTCAGTTTTGATAAGGAAAATGAAGAGATTTTCCACTAGGTTAGTTCAGTCCAAGCAGCAAGCTCTGGGGAATTGAGCTGTGGTAGTACAGGGAGCTCAACTGCCCTGACTGTGCCACTGATGGAACAGAACAAGGGCCTGCATATCACTTACTGCAGAGCAAAGCCCTTCAATTTACTTATAGTGTAGATGGAGGTAGGTTTACTCTTATGAATGACAGATGTGACCTGCAAGTCATGATCTTTTAAAGCACCATCATGCCCAGCATTACCTAGAGTAGGATGGTCTGACATAGCCATCAGAAGAGACCAGGTGCCCACTCAGCTACTCTAGTTAGTGTCTGTCATTTTAGCTCAAAGCCACCTTCACTGGCAGAGCAAAGGGCAGTAGCTTTGTGCTGGAGTGAAGGGCTGTGGGCACGCATTACTGTTTGCCAGTTTCTCTCATCAGGAGGAATATATGCAGGTGGTAACAGTTTACATCAGCATAGCATTATTACTGAAGGATATTACTGAAAGTGTCAAAAGACTGATCTGTGCACTAGATCACCTCCAATCTGGGAACATTTTCCCTTGTGCTGGCTTTGCTGTGGTGGCAGCAGCCTCCTTCAGAAGGACAGAACATGCAAGTCATAATTTACACTACAGCAGCAAGGTTTACCAGACTATCTACTAAATGAGGGGCCCTGAATACCCTAAAATGAAGGCAGCATAATGCAGAATATTGATGCTAAGATTTCTGGGAACTTAGGGCATTGGGCTTAAAGTATGCTAGCAGGCATACTTTAAGGGATATTTTTGGTAGAGTTAAACTTACCTGAATGAATTCTTTCTTCCTGACAGGGAAGAGCTTGTGTCTGAAGACTATAGAAAATGTGCACACTCTTCTGAAAATGGTCTTCTTAAAAGTGCAATAACAAAAATGCCTTCTTTCCCCTAATGATTTTGAGAGAAGAGTGTATTTTCCACATTCTTTAATTTTCCTTGGTTGCTCCTTCTCTTTCATCATCTGCTCAACTGTGACCTTCTTTCTGGTTTGGAAGTGCTACAAGATCTTTCCTTCAGACCTCATCTGCCTCATTTTTAAGTGTTTGTTGAAGTGGTTCATGCAATTCTTGGCAAGAGATCACTCGCCGACCATGTGACTTGATAGATTTGTGACACCCGTCTCTTGCTATTTCATTATGTGTTCCAAACCTTTTCATATGAGAGTGGAATCCCTGTTAGGAAGTATGGACTGCATTTATGAGTGCTCTTTTGCAGCTAATCCACATTTAATGATTGATGAGCATATGTATTTTGGTTTCACTTGTCCTGTCTTATATCGCTGTAGTTATTTTCTCTCACACTCCCACCTTTTGCTTTTTATGTGCATACCAAGAAACAGATCCAGGTGGTCTAACAGTTAGCTGCTGCTGAAAGAGGCAGAAATAATGCGTTTCCCCAGCCCTGACTGTACTGCACGTTCCTACTGCTTACCTCTTATGTCCCTCAGTCTTTGATTGTCAAATAATACGTCACAAACCAATTATTTTCATGTTACTTGGATCTAAAGTTCATCTCTTAGATTATCTCATTATAAGAAATGAGGAATTGGAGAGAAGTTTTCACATGTTTTGGGCTCCCTGACGTAGGCAATATAGATCCACTAACTGGTTTTATTCATCACAGAATGGAAGAGGCTGAAAGGCCCCTCTGAAGATCATCTAGTCGACCTCCCAGCTCAGAGGAGGGTCAGCTTGAGCAGTCGGGAGTTTTGAATATCTCCAAGGATGAAGACGCTGGGCAACCCATGCCAGTGTTTGACCACCCTCACAGTAAAAAAATGGGGGGGTTAGTGTATTAAAAATAAGTGTTTTCTGCAGGTTAGATTACTGTAAGTTGATCCAAGTTTTTCTTTAAAATGGTCTGGGAGCTGTAGCTCCCAGACATCCATCCAATGGCATCTATCTATTGAGTTAAGGGGAGGTATTGCAACTGATAGCACTCACCTTCATCCAGTACTGTGGCTAATTACTCCTCATCCTAGATCCAGAGGTTGCCTCTGAATGAGGAATTGGAAAGCATCAACATAGTTCAGAAATCCCATTTCTGTAAAGCTTTCCAAATCCTTTTGTTACTATATCCAGAACAGAAATAATTGATGTATTTAATTATTCTGACTTCTATCTTTTATCATAATATTTTGGATATCTTTATTTTTTTCTTTTGAAGTATTATTTTCTGTGAGAATAGCTGATTGTTATGCTAAATGTAGTTTTAATGTTTATGTAGCTAGCTTAATACCCATGGTTTCCACAATCTGTGTTTTGATAGCACTATGACAGTGCAAGCTATATCTATGCCAGTTAACAAATCCTATAGTGTTCTGTGACTGAAAACAGACTGAGACATGCCTAACCTGTTGTGCTGCATTCATTTGGGTGACCTGCCCCAAAAGTGATTTGACACATCAATAAAAAAAAATACTGAAAGCAACTGGATCCAGTGTTTGTGATGTCTCTGCCCACCCAGTGCCTCTGAACAAAATACTTTTCTACAAAAAAGAATTATAGGATAATAATTGTATGGTATGAATGCATAAATTAGATTACTTTAAGACAAGAAAGCAGTTAATGCCTCTTAATAGACAGTACAGAGAGACATCATGGATGAGAGAAAGTTTCTGCTCTGTTTTGAAGTTGTTGTTAGAGAGAGAGGTCAGCCATCAACACAAGAAAAAGGACCTCTATGACAAAGAAGGTAGGGTGACTGTGTCCAGCTGAAATGTTGACAAACTTGAGCAAGTTATGAAACGTATAAGTATATGAGATAAGAATGGGGTGGGATTGGGAAATGTAATTAAAATGCTCTAAAATCAGAAGTTGTGGTTAGAGATTCTTTTTCTATGCCTATTTCTCTTGCTTTTCTTGGTAAGTTGCCTCCAAGAGGGGCTTAAGTAGATTTTCAGAGTGCTCCTGTTTTAGGCTGAGCTCTGCAGAGGATGTGTCAGGAGACCTTCAAATGCATGCTGGTACCCACAGCCCCCAAATGGAGCCTCTGTGGGTCCTTTATAGGCAGAATTAAAGGCTATGCCTTGTGTTCATCTGGAAGTCCTTAGCAAACTTGTCTCCATATCCAGGAATGGGCTTAGACTGTAGCGTTAACTCTCTCAGAACATTTTATATTTTTAACAAAAGTTATTTTATCAAGGTAGTCTTAACTGTCAAACTGGGAGATGTTTACTTTGCATTGTACATTGTTTCCTTTTATATAGTGTTAGTTATTTACAGTCTTGGCATGACTGCTTCCCAAGTAGTAAATATATTCTGGCATAATTAAAGCAATTGCACTTCCTTTGCAGGCAAAACCTCTGAGATGGTATCTCTGGAGGGAGATGTTGGAACTGACGGAGAAGCTGCCAACTGCTGTTTATCTGTTAACCAGTACCTCAGGTACCATCCTTCTGAATCACCATCTCAGACCACATCTGTATTTACAGAGACCTGCTCTGGTCCATAGGTCATTACTTGAGCGATTGTAAAAATTTAGCTAAACAAAACCTACTGTATTTTTTAATCTTATTTTTTGGTGCATTATATATGTTCAGAAAAAAAAAAAGAAAGAAAAAAGGAGTCAGAGAAAGTAATTTGAAGGCTTGCGTTTCATCTGTGTGAAATCCATGCAAGGCAATGTAACATAGTTAATTCTGAAGAAGGTAGCTGACTTCCCTCAGCAAGGTATCCGTATGGGATACACTTTTGAGGATATACCCAATTAGTTCTGCTGCTGCAACCAATGTTTATGGATATAAATTAATGGGTCTTGATCCTGTTGCTGCCACTGTGTAAGCAGATTGTTTATCACTTTTTGTTTGGACAGGCTCAGAAGACTGCTTGGATAATTAAAGTTGTAGCATCTGCACAATGGTTATATACTTAAAATTACTGTGCCTTGGAGTCACCTCCCTTTATTGATCTTCAGACTGTTGCAAAATGAAATTGCAAATACAAGACATTCAGGCAAAAATTCCATTAATGGCAGTAAAGAGTATAGGGTACTACAGGGCTTCTTGTGGAAGGGCAGGACTACAATATTTTTCCAATCTCACAGGAAACTGGTAAGACTCAATATTATGTGATGGAAAAGGACATAAATCTATATGGATAAAATTAAATTATGCATAGGCAATTAGCTTCTGCAGAAGAAGAGATATAGGTTGTAAACTCTTCTCCCATGCCACCAAATAATTTAAATCACAGAGTATTCTTTGGGGGAATATTAGAGCTGCAAAAACTAGCCTGGCCATAACTTTATGTAATTGATAAATTAAATATGACTATTAACTCTTGACTTTTTGGAAAATAAAGGCACAGTTTGCATTAAGGTTGACATCACAAGGTTGAACTGGATGATTTCTTTTGGAAAAACACTTGAATCCTTTTTTTAATACATTTTACAAAAAAATGTGTAATGTTTCAGGTGACTGCTGCATTCTGTATTTGAGCCTTTATTTGATAAAAGGCTCAGGGATAACAAATTCTTGTACAAATATTTGGGGAATACCTTGTATATTTCCAGGACAAATATTATTAAGTGGATTTGAAAAAAATTTACCCAAAGATGAATTTTACCAGTAACAAAAAAACTTTCTAAAAGGAGTGCTTCTCATCAGGTGTAATCTTCCTGCCTAAACAGTTGCTATTTAGTGAGATGACTGACCTTAAATCTAAAAATAGTGGGAACTTGTATTCCTCAATTACACAGATGGACTGTAGATTGAGTTTGACAACTTTAGTTATGATAAACTACTTTAGGAGTGAAATAGTATTCTTTGTTGGCTTCTTCTTCTGTGTTTTGCAAAGTGACAGTGTCCATTTTATAAGTGGCTTTTGCAAATCAAAATGAGCCTGGAGGACCCTGGTCTGCACCCAGCCTCACAGTCAGGGCTGGCTGTGACAGCACTGCATTGCTGTGGAGGAAGGATATTTTTGGGTGATGGCTGTGGAGGGGCAGTGAAACAACACTGCTGCCAGAGCCTGTGGAGGAGCAGCCAGGACCCCACCCTGTTTCCATAGGGCCTGCAATGGCCCCACTGGACTACAGGGGCTGGGGTGTACCTCTGCAAGCCACTCATCCTGGGCTGGGTCCTTCTAAGGAGACTTTTCACCCTGTTCTTGTACCATGCTGTGTACACCTAGGAATTGCAGAGGGAGTTTAGTTCCTTGGGCACAGTGTGGGGTAAATGCCCTCCCAGGGATAAATAGGGATTGATGCAGGCTAGTCAAGGGTGAGAAGGGTCAGGCTCTGAGTGGGCAGACAAATCTGTGTATGCACCACTTCTGAGAGGGGATCCTTCTCTTCCCTATTACTTTCTTTGAATTTCAAAGGTTTGATGTATCCTTTCTGATACCTTGTACTAAACACCAGATTTAGTCTATAGGTATGGAGACAACTTTTGAAAGGAAATGAAGTGGGTTACCATCAGCAATGCAACCTTCTCCACAGGTGCAACCAATTGCTATATAAGAAGTGGGGCAGAGCTAAACAAAGAGCAGAACTGAGCAGAGGTGGGCAGGCTGGGTGAAGGGACTATGTGCTGTAGGAGTTACACCTCTGTATGGATCAATTACTGAATCATTCCCCTCATACTCTGTTAGGTCACAGAAGTGTATTTCTATCAGGAACTTGCATCAGGAAACAAATGCCATGGTTTAGCTGCCATGTCTGGGGAGAGCTTTCCAGGCAGGCTAGTGGGATAGTTACAATTAAAACCCTAGTGGGCTTTGTATTAGTTCTTCGGTTTTTTTCTATGATCCTGCTCTCACCAAATTCACCCATTTAAATGGTGCTTTCACTGGCATGGCTTGCATTCCTTTTTGTCATGTCGATCTGCTTGTTTTTTGCCCTGGCTGGTGGAAGTCCTCAGGTGTAGGAAGCAGATGAACAGGAATTTTAAAGGGGCTTCTGACAGTCCATCAGTTTCTTGGTCAGTCTGGACTGCCCCACAAAGCAGGAGTGTGAGGGGACTGCGATAGACAGGCAGGCAGAGTCTGGTCATGAGCAGAAAGCACTGACAAGCTTCCTGCTTTACTGAACTGTTTATGTTTTTTTAGTTACTTCACCAGAGAAAGTAGCAGAGTGTGGGAAGGGAATACTGACATCACCTATGATTTAGGGTTGCGTGGTCACATGTCAGGGGATCTGAAGGTTGCCTGTGTGTAAAGACTATTGACACAAAGTCTGGGAATCGTGCAGAGCTTCAGGTTATGTCCTGCCTTATGCAGAGCCAGAGAGCAGCCTGAGGACTACAACAAACAAGGCAGACTCAGCTAAAAGTGAAACTATTTATGGGAGGTTGTCTGTCTTCTCTTGTGACTCGTGGATGTTGTTTCTTGTTCACCCAGGCTCTGAGCCCTATCAGTTTGCATTTAAATATAGCTTTCCCAGGTTTTCAAATCTGCTGTTTTCCCAGAGGAATGTCTATTCCTGGCATGTAGCCCTCCCTTTATCATACCAAAAATCCTCTCACTCACTGAGTCTTGGTAGCTTCTAGTAGATGACCAGCAGCTTAAAGATTGCTGACTACCAGACCCCTCCCCTCTGCCTTCAGATTGAGGCATCGTGGTTCCTTTGATCTTACCCTTTACAATGCCCCATGCCTGCAGTTTCTTCAGCACAGCCCTGGCCATGATCCTGAAATACTTTGCCAAGTAGAGAGCAGTGAAGGAGGTTTGCCTTTCCTGCAGTCTGAGGCAGGTGACATGGGGAATCATGGAAGCAAGTGCTTGCAGGAGGGGTGATGTTGTGACATGTGACACCTACGTGTATCCAGTTCTCCTATATCTAATTGTCACAGACAATGCCAAGCATATGTGCCAAAGCTGACAAGATCAAGTGATGTTTTTGCATACACTCTCCAACTTAGCCAAATACTGCACTTGCAGGGAAATTTTCTCAAGAAAATCTAAAGGATTGGACTAAATAATATCCATAAGTGACATTTGAAATACAGAGGCACAGCACTGTGTTTAACCTCATAATTACTAACTGATAGAGTTACTCTAAAACACAACTTCCTTGCTTTTTTTCTTTTTTTTTTTTTTTTTTTTTTTTTTCGAATAGGAATTTAATTTGGCATCTTTGGAAAAAAACTTTATTCTGTATGATTCTGTTCTCAAATCAAGTCTCACTATTGCTTATTTTTTTGAATCATTCAGAACTGCTGATTTATGTAATACACTGATTAATGCAAGAGTGCCATGGCTAATGACAGCTAGTTTAGCTGTTAAGTTTTTAAGTTTTGTTACTGTTGCTTAGAGTCAGAGAGAATAAAGGTCTGGTATTTTAAGGGATTTGGCATTTCTAGATAAAAACATAAAATGTCCAATCTCTAAAGATAAGTAGGGAGGAATACTGGAAAACGGATATCTCAGTGGAGTTAGAATGTAACTTAACTTGCATGGTGTAGTTTGTATTCATTAACATACCTTAATTTTTGTTTTCTACTTGTTATAAAACCTTTTGCCCTTATTTTTGTACTGATTATATGAACATTTGATGCCTGCTGCTGTGAAGATTTTGTCACTGAAACAATTGTTTCCTGAGCACTTCAGTTCTTCAGGTAGTCCCATCAATGATTATAGCTTTGGGGTCTTTAAAACTGAAGTTATTTTAACATATGGTAACGGTACTTGATAGTTTCCTCTGGGAATCCCACCCACTGTATTAGCTAAAACAACTGTATGAAGAATGCTGTTCTCATGGCTCAAACACTTGTAATGCTGTCCCACCCAAACTAACCTCCGTGTGAGTCTGACTTCTAATCCATGAATGAGATAAGCAATGGAACTATTTGTTACTGTCCCTCTGATTTGAAGGTATTTCTTTCAACCAAGTTAGTATTTAACTGCCTTTATTTTACTCTTAATAAAAATACAATCATATAATTATAAAAAAGACAGGTGTTTTCGTCTGTTGTACCAAAGAAAGGCATCACTGATTTGCTCTGAGCAGGTGGTATAGAATTCTGGTAGTGAAATCAAATAAAATACACAGCGTGAAAGGATACATTTTCCTAGGTGAAGGAGAAGATTGGCTTACTTTAGGTGAAACATTAATGGCAATTTCACTGAAATGAAGTCTTAGTGCTACAGTTTGTTCTAACTGCACTATATTTTTAAACTAGAAAACATCCTAGCAATTCATCCTAGCGTGATAGCAGGACTGTTTTTAAAAAGTATCAATTTCATCATGCATGTGTGTGGATCACAAAATTCCAGAAGTATCTCAAGTTATCCCATCATAATAACGCAGGATTTTTTTATGTTATGATAATCTTTGGATAATTTCTTCCATCATGCTTTTTCACATCATTTCCATACTGCTGCTGCTAGCATTTTGTACCAGATGCTGTTCTGTCATGAAAGCAACTGCTTCCTGATTCTTTTGTGCCTGAAAACTTGTCTACTATGTATTAGTCGACCCAGTAAAGTCTAGTTCAAATCCTGCTCTGTTTCTATCATTAGACCATCCCACCGTCATTAAAATTACAAATACCTTTATATGCTCCATGCCCTAAATACTCCATTATTGCTTTTGCTTGAATAGAGTGCTGTCCTTATGTATGCCAGATGTGCTTAATGAAGGTGGGTGACATGGATGCAGTGCTATCTCACTTATTTGATACCTCTACCTCTTGGAGAGCCTGACTGCACTTAGTTTTCTATGGAAAATCTGTAAAAGTGGGGTCAGGTAATGCTACAGTCGGTAGCTGGCCTCATTGCCTAAATGTACATAATCAGAGAGAGAGAATGCCCGTTCCAGTTCAAAGAAATAATAGATACCTGCCTACTCTGTAAATTAGAGGGAAACCAGTGCATGGGAGATAAGAATATGAGCTTATCAGCTGATAATATTGCTGTTTCTCTCTCCCTGTATACAGCAGCAACTAGATGGATGGAGGCAATGGCCCTGTTTGCAAGGGAACTTCGCTCAGTCCTGGAAATCCAGGTGTTTGACAGCTCCAGGTTGGTATCTGAAGCTTCAGGTGGGACTTTGCTGCCCAAATGTAGAAATGAGATGCCTCATTTTATGCTGGAGTAGATATACTGGTGGCCAAAAAGGGGCAATGTGTTTACTTTCTTTGCCTTGGCATCACTCTCACACTGCTCCCCTTCGTGCTGAAGCAGTCTGCTTTGGAGTCAGCTGAACAGCTGTGCTGGAGAAGCAGACCCAGTAGGAACATGCAAGTGAGAAGGGAAAGTTTGCCCTTTAGCCCAGCCCTATCACAGAACTGCCTGGTTAGGTGTCTGCCTGGCCCTGCAAGTTGTCTTCTCTTTGGCTTTACAAATCCAGAGTAATTGAGCTGTTCAAGAACAAAGTGGATCATAAAGGTGTGAAAGGCAGATATAATCTGAAGATAAATCATGCATGGTCAAAGGAGCTGGGGTTGTGAAGTTAATTTCCAGGGAAGATTAAATGAATCAGAAGGCAGACCCTTTTGAAGATGCATAGCAATATATGTTCTTTGACAAAATTCTTCCCCTAGAGCCCCCAGCAATCTGCATACCTCCCCAGACTAAACCTAAGAGCCTTCCTGTAAATAAAGAAGGGACATGCTCTGGAGGTGATCTGGATCTCTGTGAAAGCCTCTTTGTTCCAGTCTGTGAGGTCTGGAAACTTCATAGGCAGCAGAACTATGGATGCCGACAGGAACAACTTGTCCAGCTGCTTTGGCTCTCTGATGGGATAGTGAGTGGCTGGTTCTGCTGGTGGATCTGAGACCCTGTCCCTGCAACTGAGGGAGACTGGCAACGTTACTGGGGTATCTGGCAAATGTAAAACCTTATGTGGGCTTTCTCTCCCTAACTGCTTTCTGCCTCTCCTGGTGCAGGGAGGTGGATGGTTTCCAGATGAAACAGTTGATGGAAAATTCCTGTTAAGGAAGAAAAAGTAGAAGCTTAACTCTGGTAAAGACTGTAATGATGGGCTGGGGCCAAAGCTAGGAAGGCCAGGGCATAGGCTGGTGCCATCCCACTGCACCTGTTGTCTGTGAAGGAGTCAGAGATGCTTCTACTGCTGTCAGGCTGGAGGACAGGGAATCAGATGTCCACACTGCTTTCTCTGGTTGTTGCCTTCTCACTGCACCAAGTGAAGCTCAGGAAAAAATCAGAACTCAGCACTGAAACCAAGCTGAATATGGTTAGTGTTTGGAGAGGAAGCCTTGTAAGGAGAATGCAGAGAGCATCTGAATCACTTCACCACCCATGGAAATACTCTACAAATAAAGCTGTGTTGTTTAGTTACAAATTTCATACTGGAATGGTTAATCTTGAATGTATATAGAGAAGAGCACCCGGAAATTAGTCATACATTTATGATTAGTGACAGATTTGGCTGAATTTGAAAGTGTATCCTAAAGGTGAAAAGCAATCCTCGGATTAACAGAATTTCTGATCAGCCCTAGGATATGTAGACTACCTCAGGCATTGTTGCAAAGGTTTTGTTTTCCTTCATTTTTCCTATTCAAATTTGGTAATATTTCTTTTCTGTTGCTAGTGTTACTATGCCTCTGTTTATTGGTTACTATTCCTAAAAACAAATCCAGGCTTTGGCTTTTGTGGGAAAAGGATGTGGAGTGGGGAAAGAGAGGAAGGCCCTTCGGAAGATTTGTGGAATTTGATAATGTTACAAATGAGGCCAACCGCTATTTTAAAAATTGCTATTCAAGTGGTTTATTTCTGGCAGAAATGGAGGAGGCCGAAGAAACCCTTACCCGCTTTTGTTCTAAGGCTCAGGATGTTCTTCCAGTTGTGTTTTTCCCTCTGCCACGTACTTTATCTTCTGCAGATGTCAGTGAAGGGTTTTGTAACACACTGCTTGAATTCACTCTCTTACCCTGAGATCTTGATGCAGCTTTGCACTTTGCATCTTTATAAATAAATCATAAATTTTCACAAATGAATCACCTATTGTTTGAGGTGGCAGAATATTTTAGTGCCATCTAAGTTAAGAACTGTGATCTTTAAATGTTTGTTTTGTATTTTTGACCTGTTGCAGTTACAATTTATGTCCAAGGAGGTATAAAGAAGAAATGGGACAAAAAGCCTCGCCTCACTGCAGCTGTAACACAGATACATGCATCCTTGGTATTATTATTCTTGACTCGTGGTGTAACTGTAGGATGTAGGAGTCACATTCTTTGGCAGCTCAGGTCTGGGCATTGCTGAAACACAGGACTGAAACTGCCCCAAGATTTTACCTGACAAGAAATAACAAATGGAGGTACGTAGTGGAGCACAGTGAAACAGCAAAATGTCAGGATGTGAAGAGGTGTTTGTGTGCCCAGAGTTTGCCTGGTTTTCTGGCTGTACCAGCTGGTCATCTCAAAGCTGTCCCTGCTCCCTGCAGACCTTGCCACAAGCAGTCCTGGAGGCAGTGTCACTTGCAGCACATCTACTTCAATACTGGTCAGCATGGTGGGCTGCAGGCATCTTGTACGTACATCTCAGAGCCTGCTGTAATACTCTTACTTACGATATTTTAAGAGTTCTCTCTGTTGTATTAAGAACATGTAATTGAGGGTTTGCTGTTTCTTTTTGGCAAAGAGCCTTTTTGGCTCTTCTTTGAGCCCTTTGGGCTCAGCATTGCACTGGGAGACATCCAAGGTTTTGCTTTACTCTCTTTTTGGGAGTGGGACCTCCAGGAGCAGTCATGCATCTCATTCCACACTCAAAATAGCAAAGCTCTTTCTGTAGAAAAGTAAACTGTCATGGTTCCTGAGAAAATAAATGCTACTGAATAGTGCTGTGTGGGCATATGACAGGGAGGACACTTCAAAATACAAAAGACTCAAAGATTGTTTAAGAAGTAGTTAGGGAATGTGATAGATGAAACAGGAGTAAAAGCATTTCTACTGGCCAGTACCACCCCCTTGGCTGAGGGCAGGTTGAGAGGAAGGACTGGGTGCATTGGGAGGGCAGAAACACATCGAGGTGGAGGACACAGGGGTGCCTGGGACTGCAGGGTCCCTGGCTCCAATGGGATGTCTGTGTGCTCATTGAATCCCAGCCAGAGACCCCAAGGAACATGTCTCAGGGAGTTTGCTGCACACAAATGTTTTAAACAAACAGCAATGAAGGGAGGGGATGCGGGGTGACCCTGCAGGGGTCTTTCCCGGGAACCGTGCTCTTGTATTTAGTAACTTGAGCAAAACTTTGCTGGTGAGCATTTGCATCACTAGCTGATATATACTTGCTAAAACCGGTTTTCTACTGCGCTCTTAATTCCTCATATCCCTTGTCAGGACTGTTTCTGTTTTGATACTGACAAAACGTTGCTAGCTGGTGATAGCTACTTAAGGCAAAGGACAGATGATTTTATATTTCGTTGTCCTAGTTAGGACAACTGAGACCAGTTCATCAGGGTATGGGTGTAACCCAAAACTGTGTATTCTATAGCCTTCCATGCCATTTCCCAGAAACTGTTATCAATGAACCATTTACACCATCTGCCCATAGAGCCTGACTCCTCAGGCTATAAACTAGGTGTTAAGAGGCCTGTGAGATAGGAGGATGCTCCTGTCCTCACACCCTTTGTGGAACTCCCCGCCCTGAGGGAAGTGCTGAGCATTCCTGCCTGAACTGCAGGATATATAATCTTGGAGTCTTGGAACATTTTGAACCACTCTGTGGGATCCAGAGAAGGACTGCGGCTCATCGCTCTCAAACAGACTTGGACCACCACCCTATACTGGACTCCAATCACCACTTTGACCAGACTGCAACAGCTCTCCCACCAGCAGGTTCTTCCCCTCTCCCTTTACTTTGGACTCAAGCGGGGCCCAAGGAACACCACGTTGTTCATGCCCCAGGGTACTGGGTTATACATTTGGGTTTTGTGGGTTAAGACCAATTGTTTGTTTGTATGATTGTACTTACTGTATTATTTTAGTAAATTGTTATTCTGACTTATAATCTCTCCTTTGAGTTGAGTTCATTTCCCCTGCTGGTTAACTCTTAAACCAGCACATTCGTAACAACTGTTTCACAGGATTTGCAAAAATTAAGTTTCATTCCCAGCTAGTTTTTCCAATCATACAATTTTGTATGTCGTCTTTTGTTGTTTGTGGCATCATATTTCAGACTAGATTTAAACTCTGAATTTGCCGGAACTTGGATACCTTTGTATTTTAAATATACATTCGTCCTTTTAACAGTAGTTACATTTGTCAGATCATATTCACGGAGTTTTAAAACATACCTTCTGTCCTGGGCCAGACATAAGCTGTATGGTTGAGGGGCTTTGTTCCTCTATGCTTACATTCTGTTGAGCTCAATGGCACCTGATCCTGACAAAGTGAGGTCTTTGCTACTTCTGTGCTAGAAATAATACTGTCATTCTGTAACTGCTAAAGATCAGTCCTTAAGTGCTTGAAGCATAAGAGCTTGGATATTATGTTACAATTATGTTCTAATGGCATAGTATAGAGGACACTCTTAAGAAGACTCTTGCTCTCACATGGTTGGAAAATTCCCTGGAAATGCTAGTAAGGCTTTATTTTCTGAAATGCAGAGTCCACATATGAATTCTCTCCCATCAAGGACGAACTCCAGCATTGCTCCCATTTCAAACGTTTGGCCTCTGCAAGTAACCTCTGATTAGATACATCAGTGATATATTAAGAGTTTTTGTTGCTCCGTTATTTTCTTTTGACGGTAACTCCAAAAAAGGGTCTTTTTCAGAATAGGAAAATTGCTTCAATCCTCTTTTCATTCAGTTTTGTAGTCTCTTTCTTCATTTCAGTGATTAAGGGCTTGGCAGGGCTGGACTTCTTTTTTGGTTTGGAAGATAGTTTTGGTTTGGAACATCCGAAAATAAATTACGTCCAAAAGTTTCCTCTTTTTCTGCTGTGATTTCAAAGCAATTTTCATGGCTCAGTTCAGGGCTGCCTAGTAGAAAAAAATGGAAGAATAATTACTGCCTGCAGAGCTTCTAGCACAGCAATTATTTAACTAGCTGCAAAATAATTTAAGGTACAGGCAAATTTCTTGTTCCCTGAAGAACTGGGTATTTGGAGCCAACATTTTTCCTTGCACTAGGCACATAGTTCCTGTGGCAGTCAGGCAGCAGGCACGGCCCCAGCATGCAAGGCACACTAGCAAGGGCATCAATGGCATTTCTGCCTGTCTGAGATGTGAAACTCATGTCTGCCAACGCTGATCGGTATGCTGGGTGTTGTAGCTCCCCATTGCTTCTGGAAATCTTTTCTTTTCCAACACTCCCCATGATTAAAAAAAAAATCAGAGTACTCTTCCCACTGTGAAACGCACAGCGCTCATTAGATTCAGACCTCAACCTTGGCCCTGGCTGTACAAAGCAGACTGAAGGTAGCCCTAATGGAGCAGCCAAGATTTCCTGCTCATGCAGGGAATATTTCACAATAGACAGTACAGGGCAAGTCAGATGATGGCACGTAGAGCGGGGTGGCCAAGTAATTTTGGTAAGAATATTTAATTTTGGTAAGAATAAATTGTGTCTTCTCTCACTGCCCACCCTTGAAATAAAAAGACATAGAAAGAAACGTCCTTTCCACTGATTATTTTTGCAGACTGGTGAGATCTTTAATTTTTAAAGTGTTTCCAAATTGTCTTTGTCCAACTATCATATTATTTCTCTCAATATATAATATGCCTATGATGGAAGATGCAATTTTTTTCCCTACTGCAAAGAATGAACCAAGTTACTAAAGTTAAGCAAGTTACCCAAGTTTCTGTGTTGTGTTAACACATGAATTCTTTTTCTTTTCCTAACCCCTAACTGATAAACTTGATGAAAAATTGTACTTATTCTATAGTGGTACAAGCATTAGGTATTTATGTGTCCAGCCACTAAACAAACCTATACCAATATATAGCACAGGCTATTCAAATGAGAATGGAACAGCACTGAAAAAATAGTCATGAGTGAAAGAAATAAATAGAAAAATTAAATAAAACAGAAATCAACTTGTGTTAGGAGTGACTGACTAAGAACTCACACCTACCCTTGCGAGGATTGCCTCATGGTGTTGGTCAAAGGTTCCTGTCTTGCACAGACATTTCTGTTGTTGATGTTTTTTTTCAATCCTCTGCTGCAGTTAATGAGGTTATGTTGGGAGGGTAAATTGATTAGTATAATTGTTCATTAATACACTCTAATATACTTTTAGAGGTTATATTCTTCAGAATGACGGTAAATTATGGTAGCTCCAATTAATGTCACTGCAGCTAAAGAGATGTCAGCGTTTTTATTAATACAGTGCAATTTTCTGGGGTTTTATAATTAACTATAAAAAATTGCTGAAACTTAAGATACAAGTTTCCAGCGTATTTTATGCACACAATATTCCCTTGAATCTGATGTAATCGATAGATATATTGAATCTAATAAGATAAAAATAAAGTAGAGACAATCTACTGAGGATACAGATCCCAACTTGTAGAAATGAAAGTATACTAAGGGGAATACACTGCCTTCTCTTTAGGTTAAACCAGGTGGACCTGTGGCAGTGCAGGTGATGGACATTTTGCTCAGAGGGCATCTTGCACCTGGGGCTGGCGTCTTTATCATGATTCCTGCTGCTGTCTGCCCCAGTCTATCCCTCTCATTCTCTGCACCTAGTAGCCCCTAATGTGTAGTTAACTTGGTGTAGCAGAACAGTGTTGAATTTCTTAAGATATGTTGATGTTCTTGGAGAAGATCAGAAGGAGCTTGCACACAAAGGCAACTGACCTCAGAATAAAAATAACCAATTTAACATTAAAATAAGATCCCATCCTAAGGAGTCAAAGGTAGAAAATGCTGTCCTACCTTTAAAAATTGTGCTTACTTTGAATATTTTAGCATCAGATACTTCGTTGAACAACAAAGATAACTCTAAAGCACTTAGATTACAGGGAAAGGATGAGAAACCAGCGAACTATGTTAGCCTGATGTACTGAAGTCTTTCAAAGGTAATGCCAAAGGAGTTAGAAAAACTTGGTCATTTTTCATACAAAAGGAACATATATAGAGAGAACGTTTATTTAATATGTCTTTTTATGTATTTTTTCTCCTCAGATTAACAATAATGAAAATAGTAAGAGACTTGTAGTAACTGGTTTGTACAGTATGTCAGCACCAAAGCACCAAGGAGCTGTTACTTGAATTCAGATGCAAGTTCTGCAGGAAAAAATGTCTGCCTGATCTGATAACTGGGAGTGACAACACAATGGGCTACATTGAAAGGGGCAATAAAGATGCTTTACTTACAAAGCAATTGATTTGTTATCTCATGTCTTCCTGAATATGGAATGGTTTTCTGAAATCATGACAAAACATTGATGAATGGGCGCATGCATTATTATAGCAGTCAATCTCAAGGTAATGAGATACACAAAATTCCTAGTTATATTGTAATCCTGTCAATTATGAGTGTATTCTAAAAACAGAAATACTGAGAACAAAGAAAAGAGAAAGAGGCAAGGTAAGATGAGCTTAGAGCCTCGCAAGAGCATTGTTTCCATGCACCAAGGAATAAAGTATTTATTTACTTTGGTCAAAGTTCAAAGGCCTCACATCATCTCAGCCCCTTTCTCCACTTTTTCTGTATTCCCTTTGTCTTTTGTAATATTATTTAGGGGTTAATGGACTTTTCCTTTATTTTCCTATTTTATTTTGCATATACAGAAAAGTAAGCTGTGCCACACAATCCACATATCAGCAGTCTGCAGCACCTAAGGTATTTGAATGTAGTTTTTAGAAATACAACTGGGTGGAGACTTTGTTGTTTTACTTTAAAATAATGCTAGTCATCGTTTTCTAATTCTGCCAATCACTGGAATACAAAATTAGAGAGACCTAAAGCATACACATGTACAGAATATTAAAGGCTAGAGTAGTTTTTTCGTTTTTTTCCCTGATGGAGTTGTGCCTAAAGACCCTAATATAAAAATTATAGCCCTTGCACTGAGAAGCCAACAGTCTGAACAACTAGCTCAGAAAACTCAGGCTTTGATGAGCAGCAGGGTAAGGATGGCTCTGGAGAGAGGCATGTTTGAAACATGCCAGGAAAAAAATACTCCTGCTTCCCTGAGGTAGTGTGCAGTCTCGTTATTCTATTAGCCTTCTGTTGGCACATTGCAGTTCAAAGGAAGATAATGATGCTACTTCTGTCAAAAACAGAAAAAAAAAAAAGAGAAAATTGAAAATGCTATCAGGTTGAACTGAAATGTGTCTGTTTTTGAGAAATAATTTGTAAGTGCTTTCAGAGCAAGATTATAAAAATTGGGACCTTGGACTTTACACACAGAGATTTGAAATGGGATATACCAGCTCTCCACTCCTGCTTATCAGCTTGACTGCAGCTTTTAGCAATCAAAGTTATTGCTACCTGATAGCGGTCTGGGGTAACCTCTGTGAAATGAGTAATCCCCTCAGTGCAGCCTACAAAAGAAAGGGCTTTTTTCCACTTAGCATTTCCCTGCATTAGGCAAGGCAATGTGGTGCTTTGGGATCCCCGTCCCTGCACTGCTGCTAGATACCCAGCAGTGAAATGACAATTTCCATCTGTGCTGACTCTTGAGTATGCACTGGGTTCCATGGATTTATATGTCTCTTGAACTGTATGAAAAGCAGCTGGGTTACATCTGGATTCTGGATTTCCAGTACCTGGGTGTATTTTTCATTATTGGACATTGAAAATCCAGCATGGAGAGGGAACGTATGGGATGGGGCAGAGAAGCCATCTGTTCAATCAGGAGCATCAAGGCAGCAGGCAGGGAACAAGTGGTGCTCCTCTAAGCACAAGCATTATGTTTGCAGTACAGGTTTTTCAGTGTAATGTAAATAAATAGGCATAAACACAGACAATACCTTTCCAACAAATCCAGCCTACTGCTCAGTGCTGCCTTACAGTTAGACACTAATAGGTATTGATATCCATGGTTTTATAGTGTTTGTCATCCATGAGTTGCAATTCTCAATAGATTCACAACTTCAGTCACCACAACATTTCTGACACACTATTATTATCCTTTTATAAGTAAGAACCATTAATGACTTTGGATTACACAGATCAAGTATGAATTAACTATTTTGCACTGAATCACCCAGAAAATCTAGGGAATGATCCAAACTAGTCATCTTCACTTTTGGGGCTTCCTTCAAAAAACCACACTATCTGCAAGACCCTCCATTGTGCAATACAGAAACAAAAGACCCAGTCCCTGTTCCACATGTAGTGCACAGATCAAAGAGTGAGGAAAAAATGTTAAATGCAGTTAGAATTATGATAACAGTAAATTACAGGTAGCATGTTTTGTTTCTTTGAGGTATCTCTTTTTTTCCTTGGGGGAAATATCAAAGTTAGGTTAGGCTAAAATGCATGCAATCATTGTTTACTCTTGTTATCTGTAGTGCCTTGTAAACCCATAAGCTATATACTAGTAAAAGACTTTTGAAGACAAATCTTCGTCATTTCACATTCCTACCAATTTCTGTTCACCTGGAGATACAGAAAAAGAATGTTGCCAAGCCTGAGCTTCCTCCTTTCTGCTAACTAATGAATTCTGTACCTCCTTTTCTGCAGACTGCTGGCCTTTGTTATTAAGGCAATGAGGTACCCAGTGTTGGAAATGCATCTAACCTTGAAAACATTTTGGTCTGGATGGCTGAGGCCTAGCAGGTAACACTGAGGAATTATTCAGCTACAGTTTCTCTCTGATATTGCTGAGACTTCAGACTAATGCTTACCCAGATAAATAACGGGCCACGTGTTCAGCAGCCTCACAGCACAGGTGAGTGCAGATTACTGGCCTGAGCAAACATGAATAAATTCATTCCCAGATGGCAAATTGTGGCAATGAATTAATTACCACAAGCTAAATATTTTACTAATGTTTATACATCAAAAGTGACTTCAGACACCCAGCATCCAGCTCATTTTTATTCATCCATTCTGTCCCTTTCTTGCCCAGCTGAACAGCACCCGGGACTTATCATTGCCAAGCGACCCCGTGAGCTGAGGCATGGGCACCTGGCCGGTTTCGGGAAAGCTGTTTCCTGATGTTATGTGCGTATATGCTCAAGTGTGTCTCAAATTTCATCACGCTCCCTGACTTCGGTGTCCAAGGGGAGCAGCGAAACTCCGAGGTGCTGCGCGACCGCGCTGATTTGTGGAGGAAAAGGAGCAGAAGGAGAGGCGGGAGCACACAGGTGCGGCCGGGAAGGCCACAGCGGAGGAACTGATCAGGCACCACCACCGGGCCCGGCGCTTCCTCGGGCACCGCCCGAGGAACAGCGGGGCTGCGCCGGCCACCGCCCGCGGGCTCGGGGCGGGGGCGCGGCCGGGACTCGCTCCGCCCCTCCCCTCTGCCCCCGCACGGCCCGGCCCCTCCCGCCCCTCGCTCGGAGAAGGGGCCGCGGCCGGGACGGCTCTCCCGCACCCGTGGCGCTGGCCCGGCCAACAAAGGGGGCGCCGGGGCCGAGGGAGGGGCCGCCACTGGGCCGGGCCGGGAGGGGAGGGGCGGGGCGGGCCGGGCCGGGCGAGAGAAGGAGAAGGAGGAGGAGGGACGGCAGCGACTCGCACAGAAAGTTGTGGGTCCGCCAGCGCAGCGCCGCGGGAGCCACCGCCGCCGGGAGACGGAGTGCGGGGAGGAGCCGGGCTGTGCCGTGGGGGAGCGCAGCCGCCTCTCACCGCCGTGTCCGAGGGGTGAGTGGTGGCGGCGAGTTGCTCTCGGCGGGTGCCCCGGGAGCGGCTGGCTAGCCCCGCGGGGAGGCGACGGCACCGGGAGGGGCGCGGCGGGGAAAGTTTGTTCCCCAGCTCGGGTAGCGGCGGGGGGATAGGGGGCAGTGCCCGCGGCGGGCACACCTGCGGGCGAGGCGGGACGGGGCGGCCGCGGGGAGCGGGGGCGAGGGGCGGCCCCGCCGCGGAGGTGCCCGAGGGCGGCGGCGGCGCTGCTGCGGCCGCGCACCCTGCGGGGAGGAGGTGCCGGCACGCCCGGCCGGTGCCGGGTCAAAATCCCCGCCGGGGCAGCGGCTCTGCCGGGGCGGTCGGGCGGGGGCGGGCGTGCCTGGGGCCGTGTGTGGGGCCTGTCCCGCGGGGCTTGGCTTCCCCCACCCCGGAGAGGGGCTGCGCGGCTTCTCGCACACGTGGCTGTCGCGCCCCGGGCCGGCCGGGGGAGCGCGCCTGCCTGTGTCCCCTTCCCCGCTGGCACACGCCCCGGCCCGGCGGGAGCGGAGTTCCCTGGCTTTGCCACCCACTGGAGCGGGACTGTCCCGTTCGGTTCCAGGTGGGTGACGGCTGGTGGCGGTGGTGTCGCGGCAAGGGCCGTGTCCTGCCCCTCTGAGGGTCACGGGGGAGCACGGCGCGCCCTGACGCCCAAGGGTGACTGAAGCTTGGCTTTCCCGGCTGGGGATTGAACTGGCCGCCTGGGCCATCTCGCTTTTTAAATACCATAAGGTGTCCCACGGCGGGGACACAACGAGTGGCCGATCGGCTGCCCTGCTACGCGTGGCCATGGCCAGCAAGCCTCTACCCCTCCCGTCGCACGCGGAGTCACACCTGGCATAGCCCGTGGAGTTACCGTGCCTCTCTGCTCCTGGTCCTGTGCTGTAGGTGCTGACCCGGGGCCCTCCATGGGAGCCTTCTCCCGACGGATTTAGGCTCCGCCCGTGGCGTACCCCAGCCCACGAGCATGGCCCGTGTCTCCGACCCGGAGGAAGGACCTGGCGGGGGACACAGCGAGTTCAGCGATATCATTAAGTCGAGATCAGGTAAGCTGTCGAGGAGCTGTGTTTTCCTGTTTTTATCTCTGTCCATAGCTTCTGACATCAGCTTGCATTTTTAAACAGCACGTTTGTCCAGCTGTTTTTTTGGGGCGTATATTGGTAGTACAGTGAATGACTGAAGCTGTTCGTGCAGCTCTCCTACTGTTACTTACAAAGTAATAGTAATTGTAGGTCTCTAGGTTTGTGAGGGTTTTTTTGACAGTATTAGTTAAGTGTATTTGTTTGGGATCCACCTCCTGCATTATAATTACCTCTACTTTTGTAAATAACTATTTGCTTAAAGTGCTCTTATGCAACCTAGTGTTGGCAGCTTTTGTGTTTATTCTCAGACACTGAAAATGGCAACTGTGACCGCAATACTGTACCTCCTAAAAGTGCATTGCAGTAGTACTCATGCAGTAAATTAATGTGCTTCCTCCTTAATGTAAAACAGTTGTCTAAGGCTACTCACTCAGGCATTTCCTCC